CTATTATGTTTTCGGTGAATATATGTGAGTTTTTGTGATCCTATTTTGCAAGTCTATAGTAACCTATTATGTGTTATGATTCGTTAACCCTGAAGTGACAATAATCGGGATACTTACTGGTGATGACTGTAGTTTGAGGAGTTCATGTATTCACTATGTGTTAATGCTTTGGTCTGGTACTCTATTAAAAGGAGGCCTTAATATCCCTTAGTTTCCAATAGGACCCCGCTGCCACGGGAGGGTAGGACAAAAGATGTCATGCAAGTTCTTTTCCATAAGCATGTATGACTATATTCGGAATACATGCCTATATTATATTGATGAACTGGAGCTAGTTCTGTGTCACCCTATGATATAACTATTGCATGATTGATTGCATCCAACATAATTATCCATCACCGGTCCATTGCCTACGAGCTTTTCATATACTATTCTTCGCTTATTTACGTTTCCGTTGCTACAGTTACAAACACTATAAAACCAAAACTGCTACCATTACTTTTGCCACCGTTACCACTACTATCATATTACTTTGCTACTAAATACCTTGCTGTAGATATTAAGTTTCTAGGTGTGGTTGAATTGACAACTCAGCTGCTAATACTTGAGAATATTCTTTGGCTCCCCTTGTGTTGAATCAATAAATTTGGGTTGAATACTCTACCCTCAAAAATTGTTGCGATCTCCTATACTTGTGGGTTATCACGGTTCGCCTTCTGTCACTGAGATCAAGCACCATAAGATCGAACCCACTACAAAGCACCTCTCCCCATTGCAAGATAAATAGATCAAGTTGGTGAAACAAAACCCAGATATCGGAGAAGAAATACGAGGCTATAAGCAATCATGCATAAAAGAGATCAAAGAAACTCAAATACTTTCATGGATATAAAAAGATAGATCTGATCATAAACTCGAAGTTCATCCGATCCCAAGCAAAAAGAGTTACATCATATGGATCTCCAAGAGATCATTGTATTGAGAATCAAACAAGAGAGAGGAATCCATCTAGCTACTAACTACGGACCCAAAGGTCTACAAAGAATTACTGACTCGTCATCGGAAAGGCACCAATGGAGGTGGTGAACCCCATCCGTGATGGTGTCTAAATTGGATCTGGTGGTTCTGGACTGTGCGGCGGCTGGAATTGATTTTTGTCGACTCCCCTAGGGTTTCTAGAATATTGAGGTATTTATAGAGTAAAGAGGCGGTCCGGGGGGCACCCGAGGTGGGCACAACCTACCACGGCGCGCCTGGGCCTCCTGGCACGCCCTCGTGGGTTGTGCTCTCCTCGGAGCACCCCCCAGGCACAGCCTTGGCCCATTAGGTGTCTTCTGGTCCATAAAAATCTCCGTAAAGTTTCATGTCATTTGGACTCCATTTGGTATTCATTTTCCGCGATATAAAAACATGCAAAAAAACAACAACTGACACTTGGCACTATGTCAATAGGTTAGTACAAAAAATGATATAAAATGACTATAAAATGATTATCAAACATCCAAGATTGATAATATAACAACATGGAACAATCAAAAATTATAGATACGTTGGAGACGTATCAACATGTTTTTCGATTTCAGTTTTCGCTTGAGGACAAGCAAGGTCTAAGTTTGGGGGAGCTGATACGTCCATTTTGCATCATGTTTTCCTACTGTTATTTATGATGTTTTTATCCATAATAATACTTTTTGGTGTAATTCTAATGCCTTTTCTCTCATAATATGCAAGGTATACACAAAGGGGGAGAATTCCGGCAGCTGGAAATCTAGACCTGAAAAAGCTACGTCAGGGTACCTATTCTGCACAAGTCCAAACAATCTGAAACTTCACGGAGAATTTTTATGAAATATATGAAGAATATTGGAGCAAATAAGTACCAAAGGAGGCCCACCAGGTGGGCACAACCCTCTTGGGCGCGCCAGGGAGCCCAGGCGTGCCCTGGTGGGTTGTGCTCACCCAGGTCCACCTTCGGTGCCCATCTTCTGGTATGTAAGTCATTTTGACCTAGAAAAAATAAGGAGAGGACTTTCAGGATGGAGCGCCACCGTCTCGAGGCAGAACTTGGGCAGGAGCACTTTTACCCTCCGGCGGAGCGATTCCGCCGAAGAAATTTCCCTCCCAGAGAGGGAAATCATCATCATCATCACCAACAACTCTCCCATCTTGGGGAGGGAAATCTCCATCAACATCTTCAACGGCACCATCTCATCTCAAACCCTAGTTCATCTCTTATGTTCAATCTTGTTACCGGAACTATAAATTGGTGCTTGTGGGTGACTAGTAGTGTTGATTACATCTTGTAGTTGATTACTATATGGTTTATTTGGTGGAAGATTATATGTTCAAATTCAATATGCTATTTAATACCCCTCTGATTTTGAGCATGATTATCATTTGTGAGTAGTTACTTTTGTTCTTGAGGTCACGGGAGAAATCATGTTGCAAGTAATCATGTGAACTTGATATGTGTTCGATATTTTGATAGTATGTATGTTGTGATTCCCTTAGCGGTGTCATGTGAACGTAGACTACATGACACTTCACCATATTTGGGCCTAAGGGAATGCATTATGGAGTAGCAATTAGATGATGGATTGCGAGAGTGACAGAAGCTTAAACCCCGGTTTATGCGCTATTCCGTAAGAGGCCGATTGGATCCAAAAGTTTAATGCTATGGTTAGAATTTATTCTTAATACTTTTCTCGTAGTTGTGGATGCTTGCGGGATGGTGAATCATAAGTAGGAGGTTTGTTCAAGTAAGAACAACACCTAAACACCGGTCCACACACGTATCAAATTATCAAAGTAGCGAACACGAATCAAACCAACATGGTGAAAGTGACTAGATGAAAATCCCGTGTACCCTCAAGAACGCTTTGCTTATCATAAGAAACTGTTTTGGCCTGTCATTTGCCTCAAAAGGATTGCTGCACATTGCTTACTATTATCGTTACTTGCTCGTTACAAATTATCTTGCTATCAAACTGCTCTGCTACTTACAATTTCAGCACTTGCAGACATTACCTTGCTGAAAATCACTTGTCATTTCCTTCTGCTCCACGTTCGGTTGGACACTATTACTTATCAAAAAGAGATACAATTGATCTCCTATAGTTGTGGGTCATCACGCCCCTCTCCATAGTTTAGTCCTCCGTCTAGTTTTCCGCAGTACACGACGAAGCCCTGTGGGAACAATTTCACCACCACCGTTACCACGGCGTCGTGCTGCCCGAACTCATCTACTACTTCGCGCGTCTTGCTGGATCAAGAAGGTGAGGACGTCATCGAGCTGAACATGTGCTGGAGGTGTCGTATGTTCGGTACTTGATCAGTTGGATCGTGAAGGTGTTCGACTACATCAACTGTGTTGTTAAACGCTTCCTCTTTACGGTCTACGAGGGTACGTAGACATACTCTCCCTCTCGTTGCTATGCATCTCCATGGATAGATCTTGCGTGTGCGTAGAATTTTTTTTGTTTTTCATGCAACGTTCCCCAACGTTTATGCATGCACATACACTCATTTCTATGAATGCACATGCATGCTCCATCTTGATTGACAAAGTCACCATAGTACAGGTCGATGAAGCGCCAAACTTTGAGAGACGGAGCAGGCAAGTCATTGATGAAGTCACCATAGTCATATCACAGTCAATGAGATGTTGTTTCCACTTAACTTTAAGAGACCGAGCAGGCAAATCTTATCATTGACTAAGTCACAATAGTCACGTAATATCGACGAGGTATCATCCTCGCTAAATGAATATCCTTGAAAAGTCTAAATAAATTCTAAAAATACGAGTATTTTACTAAGTTTAGAACTTAAAGCAAGATGGACTGCCCCCTCCCGTCAATGGTGTAACGTGCACCTTTCCGTTGATGTGGAGGCTCTTCAAATCTTCAGGGATAAGACTTCTAGACTGGCCCCTGGAATCATAGGAAGTGTGTCACAGAGTAGGCACCACTAGTCTACGAACATGTTCTTAGCGTAGACATAGGGACCACATTATATGCCAGTAGCTGATGGTTCGCGCATGGGTGGAGGATATTCATTGTCCTCTTGGACCTGCCACCCTAGTGCAAGATGTGGTATTATGGCGGCCTCTTCGCCCCATCCTATTGATTGACGAGCTAGATGTGCTTCGACAACGTTTGATGCCTATTATGTCAAATCATGCTACCTTGCCCTCTTCCGGGGCTCGATTGCGGAGCCCAATCGACACTTTTAAAAATAATAAATGAAACATATCATGACAACTTTACTATAAATACTATGATAACTTCAGTGTAACATCATGGCAACTTTTGACTAAAAAAATGTTGAAACATATCAATATGTGATCTAGTATATCGAGACGGATTCAGTGATGAAAACGATTTTTATTTAAAAAATAAAATATTTTTAAGGCCGAAAAAGTAAAAGGATTTCGTCGGTGTCATCTGTTTGATATGGCAGAATGAATGACAATGAGACGTTTGAACCATGTTGCATCATACTATGAGTGTAACATTTATTAGTTGGATAAAAAAATGCACCGAACCCTTTTACTATGTCAGAGCTTTGTGGGCCCCAAGCAGAACGCACCAGTCGTATCAAGGTTGTTTAGTCCCACCACACACACAAAATAAGTTCTTTAATCCCTTCCTGCAGAAAAAACAGGTCGTGTCAGGGCCCTTCAACGCCATCCAGAGTCCAGGCGTAGCACCATGTGACCGTACCAGCTCACCCGCCACGCAGGCACTCCCGGCCACGCGTGCCGCCCCCTCCTCGAACTCCAAACCGATCGCCGCCGCCTCGCGCCAAAATCACGCGTCACCACACTCACAGCCGCACCCAAACGTAGGAATAGTACGAGAAACAGAGAAGGTAGACAGGGTTAGAGCTCTCTGCTCGTCGCGCGTACGTACAGAGGCAGCTAGCGAAGAAGAGGGCGGAGCAGGCGGCGGCGGTGATCTGAAGCCAACCCGGAGCGAGAGCTACACCTATGCGCGCGGCACATGGCGGCTTCCTCGCTGTGGGACGAGCTGGTGGTGGCGGCGTCGACGGGGGGGAGCAGCGGCACCGTGGTGTCCATCTGCGTGTTCACGGCGGTGCTCTGCCTCTGCCTCGTCGCCGGCCACCTCCTCGAGGAGAACAAATGGGTCAACGAGTCCATCACCGCGCTCATCATCGTACGACACGGCGTCTCGTCTCATCCCCAACACACACGCACATTTCAGGGAACATCCATCATCGTGGCGAGACGTCCTGATTTCTCTCTGCTTCTGTGTTTCATGGCAGGGGTGCATTGTTGGGGCTCTCATCTTCCTGCTGAGCAAAGGCAGGAACTCGCACATCCTGAGGTTCGACGAGCAGCTCTTCTTCATCTACGTTCTTCCGCCAATAATCTTCAACGCCGGGTATGTATATATCTTTACCAGCTTTGTTAACTCTGCTCTGTATGGAGGTACTAAATAATTTACCAGCTCTTCAGTACTTTACTGAGTCTTGTGTCCAACTGTCCATGGCTCTTCTTTGCAGGTTTCAGGTCAAGAAGAAGCAGTTCTTCCATAATTTCCTCACCATCATGTCCTTTGGGGTATTCGGTGTTTTCATCTCGGTCGCAATAGTTTCCGCAGGTACTACCTCTTTGCTGATTATTCGACTTTTCTTGCATGTCTTGCGTGGGCATGTGTACTTCACACATTGCAAGAGAAATACTTATAAATTTGCAAGACTTAGCTGCTAAACTGAGTGCAAGTCAACCAACTTTACATGAGTGAAGAACATACTACATGACCATGACATGGAAGATTCTGCTCACAAAAGGGCAATTCCATACTAGTGAGGTCTGTGTAGATATTGTGAACTTGGTTTCGCATCCATCGGCATTCGGAAATCAGGCATGAATATGGGTTGGTTTTGTCTCCTTCAACACATTCTGGCATGTGTAGGCGACAATCGCGTGGAACAAACTTTTTGTTCCTTGTTTTGGAGTTGGGATTATCAAATTCATCGCCCCCTTCCGCCGCTCTCGCACCCTGAATGGTGCACCAAGCAGCGAAAGATTGGGTTTTGTCTTTTCGCTCAAGTGGCGATCTTTCGTTGGATGCTTGGAGAATTTGCATCGAGTGACAATGTGATCCAGGGTCTCAGGATTGCGGCAATGTTCACAGCTGTGCTGTTGGTCCAATCCTTTTTTTTAACCGTCTTCACTTATACTCTTTTATGCACTGGTAACCATTTTTCAAGGGAGATATTTTGTGCATCATACTAACAATCTGTTCCTAAATACCACTTTTCTTGATATCAGGTTTCTACTGGCTCCTCCCAAAAGTTGGTTTTGGCAAACTTGACGCGGTGGATTATCTAGGTCCTTACTTCTGCATTTGTGATTTTTTTGGGCCACTTCCTTTTGCTTCAAATTAATCAGTTTGGGTCTGATTTTTGAATTGCAGCACTAGGAGTCATATTTTCTTCGACAGATACTGTGTGCACGCTGCAGGTCCGTTGGATGTTCGAGTTCTATGTAACCTCTCGAGTGTTTTCTCCACTATAAATTTTTCTAAACATACGTTCAATCTCTTGAGCTCAAACTCAGGTCATAAGCCAAGATGAAACACCAAGGTTGTACAGCTTGGTCTTCGGAGAAGGAGTTGTCAATGATGCAACATCTGTGGTCCTATTCAATGCTATAAAGAATATGGATATCACTAAGATCAAAAGCGGGGCGGTGCTAAAAGTTATCGGAGATTTCCTCTATCTTTTTGCAACTAGTACTATCCTTGGCGCCACAGTAAGGACACTATTTTTTAACAATCTAATTTTGTGATATTTATAATCATGGTGTTACATAATTTTTCCGGAACCATGGCACCAATTTAGTTTTCATACTTTTGTTTCCCGAATGATATCAGATCGGACTGTTCACTGCTTATGTTCTCAAAGCGCTGTATTTTGGCAGGCAAGTAGCAGAATACTAGCACATTAGTTGGTTTCCGTCCATCTTCTGCGCTTTTATGTTCTAAATTCCTCCCCTGATTTTGCAGGCACTCGACTGACCGGGAGGTCGCTTTAATGGCTCTCATGGCTTATTTATCGTATATGTTAGCAGAGGTAATTCCATGAGAGCTTAACTTCTGACAGTTCATATGCTTGTCCACAATGCACCTGAGCAAACATTCATTTTGGCAGTTGTTAAGTCTGAGTGGGATTTTGACTGTTTTCTTTTGCGGCATCGTCATGTCCCACTACGCATGGCATAATGTAACAGAGAGCTCCCGAATCACGACAAGGTGCTATTACTCTGCTGTTTCTGTATTACTAAATTATCTGTATGGCTTTCAAAGCCACTGCTAACTTATGTGTTTTATTTTGGTTAACCTGTTTTGATGAAAAACATGTGTTGGAAGTAATAGTAATGTAAATGATGTGACTACAGGCACATATTTGCGACACTATCATTCATCGCTGAGACCTTTATCTTTCTTTATGTTGGAATGGATGCCCTTGACATGGATAAATGGAAGACAACACAGGCAAGGTGAGCAACAAAGCATGCATGTCTCTTTTTTTTTTTGTAGTGCCAAAGAACTAATCACTTCTCTCAAGTTACCTTAAAGCATTCAATTCCAAAAAAGTTACCTCCGTTTCAAAAAAAAAATTTACCTTAAAGCATTCAATTTAAAAAAAGTTACCTCCGTTTCGATTTTTTTTTACCTTAAAGCATTTCTCAGAGACATACTTTGTTACTGTGCCAGCTTCAAGACCTCAGTTGGTATTTTCGGTGTCATCATTTCACTCATTTTGCTGGGACGGGCCGCGTTTGTTTTCCCTCTTTCGATCCTTTCAAATTTTATGAGTGGGAATTCTGAAAAAGCACCAATCACATTCAAGCACCAGGTTGCTTCTAAACCAATGATTATTCCCTGGTAGAAAATCCTCTGAATGATGTACTCAAAATTCTCTAATCATGTGAAGGTCGTGATTTGGTGGGCCGGGCTCATGAGAGGCGCCGTTTCAATTGCGCTAGCATACAATCAGGTACGTCCTCTCATCATCCGGCCGCCTTCAAGATATACGAGAAGACAAGTGGTTTGCTGAACATTTTGCATGCTTTTCAGTTCACATTTTCAGGTGTAACACTGGATCCAGTCCATGCAACCATCATCACCAGTACAATCGTCGTAGTATTTTTCACAACCCTGGTAGTAACCGAATCCCACGCTTTTCGTTACATGATGTTCTATCGGCAAAAGCTATACACGGCACATAGAAGCTGATACATTCTGATCATTTCAGGTGTTTGGCTTCTTGACAAGGCCATTGATAAGCGCCATGCTCCCGCAGCATCGGCACCGGGAGCCGGCGGGAGGCCGCAGCACGGGAAGCAACTCGCCGAAGGACGAGTTCATCCTGCCGTTTCTCGGCGACGAAGACGCGTCGGGGAGTGGAAGTGGCTTCGTCCAAGCCAAGAGAAGCATATCAATGATGTTGGAGAGACCCATCCACACGGTGCACATCTACTGGAGGAAGTTCGACGACAGGTTCATGAGACCAATCTTCGGTGGACCACGATCTTACTGACTGGAATAATTCTGTGCAAGAGAAGAGGTGGAATAATTGGCGCTCTTACGACTGGAGGAGTATAATCGAGTTCGGCGACGGTAATTCAGTGTAACAATATCTCTGAATTTTGTGTCTTTGGTTTGTAACATGAACAGTGTTACTACCTTACTAGCAGTGTATAGTTTGTAACATGAACAGTGTCGAGCAAATTCAGTTTGCTCTTTATTTAGTGTATTTGTAGTATTACAAATTCTGGAAGTATAAACGGAAGCAAACACGCTGAAACTCAACTGGAGTGCAGTGCTCCAGGAGACCAGGACCTTGTGTCGGACAAACGGCTCTCGTACAGTTGTACTCCAGGGACTCGCGGGAACGCATGCGTGCTGGCGGCGGAGGCCTGGGCGCCTCCGGCTGTGCCCTTTGCCTCTGCATCTGCTCTGGAGCCCTCTGCATCCGCCTCCTCTGCACCAGTGCTGTGCTGGAGGCCTCGTCTTCTTCATCAGTGAGCTCTCCAAGCTCTGGATCCATCTAGCTAGAGAGGGGCTGTTCTGAGTGGGAGAGGTTGAGGTGGTTTTTTTTTTCTGTTTTTCTTTAGGGCAAGGTGGGCTTTTTATTGACAAAGTGGTAGGAGAGTGGGTAAAAAGGCCTAGGTTTTTGGCAACGTATCGGGTGAAAATGCTTGTTTAGTGAAAATCTGGAAACTTTCTCTCTTGACCATCAGATCTAAAATGAACGGATTATATGAGAGGTGGGATTCCGCTTAGCCACTTAAAACGTGTTTGACAGAAAACCCCTACCACATCTTAATCTCGTTGTTTGAAATAAAGGTTCTAACTTAAGTTGAAGACTCGTTACAACTTACATGATAACTTGGCATAAAAGTTTCTAACATAATACACTAGAGTTCAAATACATTGACAAAGCCCTAGTTAACTTCCCATTCCCTAAAATGTACACCTCAAATCAAGCATTAAATTCTTAGGCCACCTACTTATAAAGGACTAAGATGTACTTAACCACCACAACTACCAGTTCATTACTCCATGATGGTCTTGACTTTTCTCTAACTTCTCCTTGCTCCCATAATCATCTTTCAATAGCTCACCACTCGCATGCTCAAGCTTCACCTTCTCTTTTTTAAGTAGATCTCTATTCACTTCAATCTCCTTCATGGCCTTCATGGGGATAATGTTAGCTTGGCTTTATAAACTTTTCCATATGCGCCTTCAACTTAGCATTCTCCTCTATATCTTTCTTTCTCTTCTAAAACTCTTCCTCCTCTACTGCCTTCTAGTACTCCATGTAGTCCATCTTCCCATCTTGCCAAGCAAACATCTTGGAAACATCATCCACAAGCTTGCTATACTTAGTGCCCAGTTTCTTATTGTCCTTCTTAAGCTTGCCTCAATGTTTCTCATATGCCTGCTTGGCAATAACCCTTCCACAATTCTGCTCATGACACATTTCCCACAACTTTGACAAACAATTCTGAAGAATAGGAGGGTGAGGCCTATCAAGCCACTCAACAGCACCACGGTTCACACCTCCTCCCAGCAATTGCAAGTGCATAATTACATAACAATTCACACTGCCTAATTGTCAACAAGCATATAATAAATTGTTAACATGAAGATGATAATAGACAAACTGCAGCTAATACATAACATTGTTAACATGAACATATTTTTTTGTCAAAGTGTATACATTCAAAATACTAGAATCTGCTAGCCCTGAATGGCTTGAATCTGCTACTTATACTAATGCATGGATTTAGCTTGAATCTGCTACTTATACTAATGCATGGGTTCAGGCATATTCAGTTACTTATACTAATGCATCTGGTACTTATACTAATGCATTTGGAAATATTCAGTTGCATCTGCTACTCATACTAATGCATCACGTTCAAACACATATCACTGAATCTGCTACTTATACTACCAGGCATATTCGGTTACAAAAAATAATTTTGCTACCTAGTGCATGGTTCAGAAATAGCACAGATGTAATTCATAGATTTGGTGCTAACTTGAGAGAAAGGTTGCTAGATAACCTACGTTGGACATCCATAAAAACATCTTCCTATGAAAATTCTTCAAAGGCCACACACTTGATAGGCCTCATGTGGTGTAGCATGCATTTGGGTTTAGATTCCTCAAGTTGGCCACAGAAAAGGGGCTCTACAATGGTCTTCGGGTCTCCTGCATCCACAAAAACAACAATAGAGCAAATCCCCAATTACACTAAACATAGCTCGACAAGAACCCTAACCCTAGCTCAGCCAAAAAAATGTCCTCACTGCCCCATATCCATGTTGGTGATGTCGAAGTTAGTCTTGGAGCTCGATCCGCCGTCATTCCAGGAAGGCATGGCGGAAGGAGGCGAGCACTGGTGTTATTAGCGGTGGCGGCGAGCTACGCGGAGCCAGAGAGAAGAGTGAGAGCGAGAGGAGTGAGAGCATGGGAGTGAGGGAGATAGTGATGGTCGATCTACTTATGACAGAGCCAGTTGGTTCCACCTGCACCGATCAGCTAACGGGCGTTGATCCACCCCCCCCCCCACCCGCACATGGCCTAACTGGCAGGCCACCGCTGTCAGAAAACATGTTAATATGTTAGCAATGAGCAGTTTGGGTTTTTTGAAATAGCCAGCCACACTTTCGGTAGTTATCAATGACAAACAAAAATCCAGTAGTTTTTTGGAACCATAACCTGAAAAGTAATAGTTTTACCCTATTCACTCGAAGTCGCAGGATGGCGATGGCAGCCTTCTTCTCGACTTCAGTTGACATGGTGATGTCGAATGCGACAAGATCGCCCTTCTCCTGATGCGGGATCGCAAAGGGCGGGGTTCCGAATGCCTGCTCTCATGTACAGCTATGCACGCGATGGGATTGTCGACATCAACAACATGAACGAGCTGAACGACGGTGGGTGATGTGCACGAGGATGCATCAGTGCATTTTTCCTTCTTTTTTGTGGCAAAACTACTACTACCGGAACGACCCATCTTCCCATGTGTAATTGCATGTGTTGTAACGAAAGTGCAATCACATGGGACCAACCTGTGATTGGATGGTTAGGAGGACAGTGGTATCCCCAGTCCATCAGAGTTCAAGTCCTAGATTTGACATTGGTGCTTGCATTTTTCTAGGTTTATTTCAGACTTTACGGCGATGTTCGTTCAATGAGAGGAAAATTTGCATCGACTATGAGACGTCTATACCGACTTCGTCAATCTCAAAATGCTATGTTGGCTTAGTTGAGGTGCTCATAGGGTAAGGTGTGTGTGTGCGCGCGCGCCTTCATAAGGTGAGTTTATGCTTGTGTACATGAGCAACTTCAGTTGTACCATGTGAAAAAAGTTCAATCACATGTAGGACTGACGACGGAAACTCTCTTGTAACTCGCCTCCTCGCCGCCACCAGCGCTTGGCCTGTGCCTCCCGTTGGCGTTGCCGTCAGTCTTCCTCGTCATCTGTGGTCTTAGGGCCATGGAGACGCGGTGGACCCCGGCCTTTGCTGGCGCCAGGTTTTCGTTTTCTAATGTTTTTTAAGTTTGTTAGGGTTTGTATCCTATTCAGAAAGATGAGGCAGCGACGACTCTTTGTAGATGGAATAAGGTACTTCCCGCCTAGTCCCCGTTCCGGCGGTGCTTCTTGCATCATTTGAGAGCATGTGGATATTTGTCTTTGGCGGATCTCGCAGGATTCGCCTGACGTTTTCCTAAAGTGGATACACGTGGATTTGGTTTGCGTTGGTCAGTGATCGTGTGTCTACAGGTTGAATCCCTCCGTTCTAAGCTTCTCTTCATCGGCAGCGGTTGTTATTCTAGTGCATTGGTCATTAGGGCCTTAGCACGATGACTTCCCGACTGTCTGCTACAATATGTTTGCCCGGCTCTGATGAGGGAGGGGCGATGACGGTGGCGCGCCTTCAGCTTACTCCAGTGCTTCTCGTCGTCGCTAGGTGGATTATGGATCTGGATGTAATTTTTAATTTTGGTGTTCTTTGTACTATCTCGACAATTGATGAATAGATTGAAAGTATTTCTCAAAAAACACATGCGCCCCAATGCACGTGCAACTAGAGGTTTTTTTCTGGAAAACAGATGCGCGGTTTTACTTATGCCCATCCATGCGCAACTTATATGGTAGTTCGATTATTCCAAAAAAACATAGTAGTATTCTTCTTCACATTAGATTGTACAAATGAGTTCTTAAGGGGGAAAATCCTATGTAACCTTACGGTTTCATTTTTTGGATTACTATATGGAATTTTCTCATTATATTTTCTAATAACCAATAATATTTTGGGCGACCCGACGGGCCAGCCGGGGGATAATAAGAAAATATCCGTTGCCTCGCTGACCATTAGATGGACACGTTAATGGGCATTTGATCTACCCACGTAAGCAGTCACCTCTTTGCAACAAGAGTGGTGTTGCTAAAGGCCTTCTACAACAAGATGGTTGTTGCAACCACCACAAAGAATTCATTTATTTTTCTAAAAAAATCTTTACAACAAAAGTAATGTTGCGAAAAATAATTGCAATAGAGAATGTGTTGCAGAAAACGTTGTTGGCCATTTTCTACCGTATTTTTTTGCAACAGAGCTCTTGTTACAGAAAACTTTTGCAACAACAAACATGTTGCAGAGAGCATTCTAGTGGTAGCATCTTGTTAGAGAAGCCCGTAGGCGTGCTTGCTGGCGCCAAGCGACGGTGGCGGCGGTCGGAGCAGCACGGAGAGGCGACAGCTTGACGGGGGAGCTCGATCTCTCTAGTTGCACGCCTTGCAACGATGTGCATCTCGTCAGAGAAGCACGACGGCGGCGGCAGTCGGAGCAACATGGGGAGGCGGCGACTCGACAGGAGGTTGAGGCGGTCGGAGCAGTTCGGGGAGGCGGCGGACTCAACGGGAGCTTGGCAGGAGCAGGAGAGGCGACTTGTCTCTAGGATCCAGATCCTACAACCGAGCCTTTTTTCCGCGGGTGAACAAAATTGTTGTTGCGATGAGAG